AAATAAAACAGCCCTGCTTTTGCACAAAGTGAAGGCTGGAGAGGCCTGGCTGGGAGTCCCAGCTGGTCCCTGGCTCTCAAAGACAAGGCAATGTTCATGAGGTTGGCACCAAATGTTTTCCAGTTTTTATCCTGGAGAAAGCATAAAGCAAGGGATGCCTGGCAGCGCTTCTGTTGTTTGCTCCCCCAAATCTGTCCCACCTTGGAAAATCCCTCCCAAAGCCAGAAGGGTTGGGGCAGGGGATCCTGGGCTCCACCTGGACACCCCATGTGGTCCAAGGGCTCCCRAAGGCAGCGACTGGGTCACAAATCTCTCCATGAATCCCTGTGCAACCTACTGGAAAAATTGGGAAARAAATGGGAAAACCTCACCCAARCTCTGCRGTGATGAGGRTTTTGTTAGCACAGGGCTGGAGYTGGGTGGGCACCAGTGCCAYCAGCCACTTCCCAGCTTCCTGACCCGAAAATTGGGAGCRTCCCCTCCTCCAAGCCATGTCCTGACCCTCTGCTGGCAGCAGCTGCATCCCAGTACCGAGGTGGGGTCACCAAAGGGATCTGGGTGCTCCACAGGGAGCTCCCCAAGCCAGGGGAGCTGGACAYGGGGCCAGAGGGGGAGCAGAGCGGAGCAGAGCAGCCTCACACGAGCAGGTTAAAGACAAAAACCAGTGCCCAGCTGGGAGCRAATCCGAGCTGGGCACAGCCAGAAGGGAACCTTGGCATGGAGGGGATGTCACTTCTTCTCCAGCAAGGGCCCAAAGAGCCCCCAGTCAAAGGCCAGCATGGCCTGGGGGTTGGGCCTCTCCTTGGGCTTCTTGAAGTTGTCCCTCTGGGAGCGCAGCGTCCTCAGCACCTCCACGGGCTCCGTCTGACCCGTGAACTTTTGCACGGCCTCTTCCCTGCAAGGGGACAGCCCTGCTGTGCCGTGGGGACAGGACGGGACCCCCACCCCGCTGGGACAGACCTCAGGGGAGCCCCATCCTGTGCCTGGGGTGACCCCAAACCCAGGCAGCCTCCCCTCCCTACGGGCACGGGTTTCCCACTGGTTCATGAAGCTGCTGGGAAAAGGGATGGGGCCAGAGGGGAAAGGGGAGTGTGTTTTGGGGGTACAGCATGGCTTACGTGACCCGCAGGAAGGGATTGTACAGGAACTCCTCGTGCAGCGTCGAGGGCACCGTGGGCAGGTCCTCATCATCGCGCTGCTGCCGAGGGAGCAGAGGTGCCCAGGTCCCACTGCCATCCCCAATCCTGCCGCCATCCCAAATCCCTCTGCTGCCATCCCCCATCCCGCTACCAACCCAAATTCCTCCACTGCCACCCCAAATCCCTCCACTGCCATCCCAAATCTCACTGCCATCCCCACTCCCTGGGCCCCACCCTGGCACAGCGGGCACAGCCACTTACTTTGGCCCACGCCAGCTTCTCCTTCACCGCCTCATTCTCTGGCTCCACTTTGGAGGCGAATTTGAGGTTTCTGACAGTGCATTCGTGGCCACAGAAAACCTTCTGCAGGAAGCATCTGGCATCAAACCTGCTCTCAGCACCAGATCCCACCCCAGGATCACTGCCTCGAGCCCCTTCCCGGCCCCAGGACCTCTGCCCAGGCTGGGTGATGTGGGGCACTCACCGTGTCCTTGGGCAGAGTCCCCAGGATTTGGGTGAGGTTGGTGTGCATCTGCTCCGCTGTCCCCTCGAAGAACTGCCCGCAGCCCCCCACRAACAGGGTGTCACCTGCAGGACAGGGGGCTGGGCACCGAGGGACCCCGGTGCAGGGTGGGGGTGCCAGGGGGGCTGGATTCCCCCCAGGAGTGCTGAGTGGGGGGAACAGGCAGCACCCAGGGTGGGATACCTGAGAACAGCGCCGGAGCATCTGGGGAGTCGTCCTCCCACATGAARTAGCACATGTGGCCCGAGGTGTGGCAAGGGGTGAAGAGGCACCGGACCCTGATGGCCCCGAACTGAGGAGAGAGGGACAGGGCCCCCACTGAGGGGGACAAACAGAGCCCCACAGACCTCCCCACACCCTGCCTGGGGCCCAGCGGATCACAGAGGTGCTGGGGGGGGTTAGGTGGCCCCAGAAGAGGGTGGGATCCTCCAGCACAACCCCAAACAGGCTGGGATTGGGATGGGATTTCTCCTCCATCCCAGCCTTGAATCCGTGGGGCCACATCTGCAGCCGCCCCAGGGCATGAAGAGCTGAGCATGGCCCAGCAGCACCAACCCCATGGGGACCATGATGCCACCCCACTGGGGACTACACCACCACCCCACACCCCAGGTGTGCGGGGTCCGGGCCCAGAATGTCCCCACAGTCCCATGGCCCCGCACCGTGAGCTCCTGGCCGTGGGTGACCTTGTGCGTGAGGGCCCCGACRCGCTCGTCAGCACCGAACACCCGCAGGCCGGGGAAGAGCTGTGCCAGCTCCTCATTGCCCCTGGCATGGTCCCTGCAGGCAGAGAAGGGACTGGAAATGGGCACT